TGTTTTCTGAGTAGCGTCCCAGACTTCCAGATCAGGGCATTAAATGCCCAGAGGATAACTGGTCTGGCTATTAAAGGCAGATCTGAAGAAGGCATTAAAGACCTCAGCCTTCTTGTCCTCAGTGGCCACATTCCCTGCTGCATCAAGTAAAGGATGGAAATTCTCCTTGGTTCTTCTTTTGCCACTGATATATTTATAAAAGGATTTTTTATTGTCTTTTACTGCAGTGGCCAATCTGAGTTCAAGTTGGGCTTTTGCCCTCCTAACTTCCTCCCTGCATACCTTAGCTACATCCTTGTAATCTCCCCAAGTAGTCTGTCCCTTCTTCCAGAGGACACAGACTCTTTTTCCTTACGGAGTCTCAACAGTAGTTCCTGGTTCATCCATACCAGTCTTCTTCCCCTACAGCTTGCCTTATGGCATTCAGGGACAGCCTGTTCTTGCACCTTTAAGATTTCCATCTTGAGGAGTATCCAGACTTCCTGGACTCCTTTACCTTTAAGGAGCGACTCCCAAGGGTCCCATGCTACAAGTGTCCTGAAAAGGTCGAAGTCCACCCTCTTGAAGTTCAAGATAGCAGTTTTGCTAGTCACCCTTCTGACATCTCCAAGAATAGAGAATTCAACAATTTCGTGGTTGTTCTGCCCAAGACAGTCCCCAACCTTCACATCTCCCACCAGTCTTTCTCTGTTAGCGAAGATCAGGTCTAGCAGGGCACCACCCCTGGTAGACTCTTGTACCAGCTGTGTAAGGAAGCTATCTTCCACACACTCTAGAAACCTCCTGGACTGCTTCCTCTGTGCTGTATTATACTTCCAACATATGTCAGGGAAGCTGAAGTCTCCCATGAGAATAAGTGCTGGCGATCGTGTGACTTCCGCGAGCTGCTCATAGAAAGCTTCATCCCAACTCTTCATCCTGGTTAGGCGGTCTATAGCAGACCCCCACCAAGATGCCGCCACTACAGGCCTTCCCCCTGATCCTTACCCATAGACACTCAACTCTGTCATTACAAAGCCCAAGCTCTTCAACATCAAAACAGTCTTTGATATAAAGGGCCACACCACCACACAAAACTAGACTAAAGGTGAAGACTCAAAGAGAGGAAGACTACTAGCTTCATCCCCACAACCACCAGAGGAAGACGCCCACTATGAACCACGCATGTGTCAAGGGCATATTGGCAGCATACAAATGAGTTTCTGGAAAATTAATGAATATGTAACTAAATTCCAGGACATGTTTTGAATATGCATAAGGTTGCTTTACCAATTTGTACCGCTCTTGCTTGTTGGTGTGTGTTAGGAGGAATTATCCCCCACGTACCCAACGATACGCATCTTGTTGAATAAACGTGCCTGCTTTATAACCTAACTCTGGGTTATAGAGTCTGATTCCACAAATCATTTGCTGTCATGGCACGTGGCCTCGCACTCTTCTTCCTGTTTCCTGGCTGATCACAGTGCTGTGCAGCAACAGGGAGTTAAGATAGGTATTCTCTCACCCAGCGTAGCCCCCTCCTGCACCGGGGAAAGGGTCTAGTTGGAATAGCACATGCATTTTTATTTGCTTGTTTAGGCTTTTTGCAGTCCCTTTGTACATGACCGGGTTCCCCACAATTGTAACATTTCATTCTTTTAGCTGACCTTATATCGAGTCAAGCTCCCAGCGTGTCTGCTAGCAAGTCCATTTTATGACTTTCTGTGCCTACATCTTGACAGGCTTTAATCATGTAAGTAATGGATGTGTGGGAATGGAATGTTGTTTCTGCATTTGATATTAAAAAGGAGCAATTGGTTTGAAGAAGTAGAACATAATGCATTTGTATTCTGTAACTTATCCTTAGAAATAGTTGCTCTAAGAAGTAAAATACTGTATCTGTTAGCGGCATGTTTTAGAAACATTATTACTGAATTATGTGATTAATTCTTTCTTGCAAAACTGTAATAGTTATTAAATGTTCCAAACAATGCGAGTATAGTGTGTTAGGGATTAGAAAACATACTGTAGAGCTGTTCTGTTAGGATAAGAAACTCTCAGCAAAAGAAAGACAGATTTAGCAAACATCAAAGAAGTCAGGGCCTCTACACAAGGCTGAACTGTCTCAGTCCGTGAGAAGGTTGGGGTGTGAAGGCAGGCACCAGGATCCTCCCCTGTCTTTCTCCCAGGCTTATCTTTGTAGAAAGAAGGACAAGCAGATATCTGCAAAATAATGATCAGGTGTGGAATAAGTTAATTAATTAACTACAGATTTATGCAGCAAAAATTTATGTTTGTCCAATGTTTCCATGTTTAGTGAAGTGTCGAGAAGATTGTGAACCTGAAGTACTCAGCCAATGAGGAACCAGGGGAGTAAGAGATAAGCGTCGGGGAATAGGGAATAAAAGATGTAACACTTTTTTCTGTGTGCTCCTGCTTGCAGGAGGCCCAACATTGCAATTGCGAATAAAATCTGCTTTATCAGAGATACCGTCCTAGGAAATTATTTGGATATTTCCTACAGGGGGACTCACAGACCCATGCCCTGGGAAAGAGAAAAGGAAAAAAAGGGGAAAGGGTAGGGAGATGGGCCTCAAAACAAACTAATTTACTAAATAAGATATCAGAATGCAAGATAACACTATAATACAATAATACAATATAATAAGAATTGAATTAAATAAATCAAATAAAATGAGAGAAAGAGTGTCTGAATACTGAAGGCCTTACTCTAATGCTGAGGTGAGACGTCTAGCTGGGCCGAGCAGTAGAGAAAAGAGGGGACATCTCATGATATGCAAACGGTTTTATCTTTTCCCCTGAATGGAAAACGGAAACAGAACAATGCAAAGTCCTCTGGGGTATGTAGTATGTAGTTCTCTTCTGAGAACCAGGTACCCAGAACTATCTATGATCCATGGAACTGGAGCATTAACTCTTTAACTCCCAGTGTACGACATGATGTTATGATGAGAAATACCGATAACAAAAACCTTAAAACCATGACAACAGGTCAGTGCTGATCAGGAAAGCATTTGGTCTTAACCCTGAATAGGCTAAAGGGTTGTGGGAGTTAAACAGCACATTGCTGGGAGAGGTTAAATTCAGTAGAGTCCAATTCCTCTTGACTCAGACCTGGGAGAGCCTGGTGGCAGACAGGCCCCTTGGTTGTTTTTCTTTAGTCCCACCTCACTTTGGCTTTAAAAAATGGAGGGCAGGAGAGAAGAAGCTGGAATTAAGTATGAGTTGGAAAAGAGCACCAGGTAATATATTTTTTTATAAGCACCTGGAGGAAAACAAGGGAGGAACTGTCAGCACAGGCTGCTCTAGCATTCAGTGGTCTCTGATGCAACAGGGTGGAGGGAAGGCAGCAGGACTCCCAGGATGTTCTTAGCCTCAGTAAGCACCTTCCCAGGTGGGGATGAAAGAATGTGAGTACCAGAACTGATGGGAAACCTGTACTTGGAGTGCAGTGGGTTGTGCAGAGGTGGTGGGTGGAGTTGACAGCGCCTCTCACTGAGGCCATTATACACGGAGCATTTTATTCTCCAGAGCTG